CATTGATTCGAGTTCGTCAAGACAGTTGACTTCGCGAAAAGGCTTAGAAAAAGCCAGACATCTTGATGTATCCTTGCTATGGATACAGAGGTTGAAGCAAGTGTTGGCGAAGGCGAGAAAGGGTACTGACAACCCCGCGGATCTAGGAACAAAAGCATTGTCGCGAGACAAGATCAAGAAATGTTTGAGAAAACTAGGATATGGAGGAGATTTTGTTGATGAGCAAGAAAGTCAAGTTCGAAGAACGAAAGGAAGATCGAGCGCAATTAGTGTAAGTATGATTGCGAAAATTGTGGCGATGCTTATGAGCGAAGGAATAAACGTTGAAGGCGCGAAAATTGGACTGGACATGGGAATGGCGAACGTTGGAACCAAACACAGTACGTCTTGCAGATTGGGAATTTGCTTGTTCGTGCTGGTTTGTGTTGGCAGTTGTGTCATGTTGAGCATGTGTCCATCCGCAGCTGTTTTGGCCCAAGCGACGGGACTTGGGAAGAAAGAAAAATTTCGAAAGAAGTAAAGCTTAAAAAGGAAAAGAAGAAAAGAAAAAGAATGGCTGAAGAAATGAAGAATGCTCAAGAAGTTGAGGAGCAAGCGGGCCCTATGATTGAAGGGCCAACAGCCAGCCAAGAACCAGAGCCTACAGAGGCAGGCCCTGCGACAATGGCTAAAAGAGCCGCTGAACTGAAAAAGAAAGCCTTGGAAGCGAAAGAAGGAAGAGAAAAAGCTCTTCAAGCCGAAACTGAGCGTCTTGAAGCAGCTGAAAAAGGAGAAGAAGACTCAAGCGAAAAAGCTGCAGAGTTGAAGCTCTCGGTCCCCGAGGCCGGTTAAGCAGCCGGTGGAGAAGAAGAAAGTGAAGAATCTTCAAGCTCTGGTAAGAGCTCAGAGTCTAGTGAAACAGACTCGGACGAAAAAGCAGCAGAGTTGAAGCTCTCGGTCCCCGTAGTTTTGAAAGATAGCCAAGACGACGAAGAGGGTCGCGCGAGGGCCACTAACGCTACGAATGAGCAGTTCCTCGCAATGATCAAAGGGGCAGTAAAGAGCATCGAGGAGAAGAAGGCTTTTTGCGCCTCACGAACTATAGCTGCTGTATGCTGGATGCCTTGGAACGCTTTCCGAGTTGACGGAGTTGGATGGAGGAGATGTGTCCAACCTCCAAACTCTTGGTCAGGTAAACCGAGAAATGCAGGAATCTACTTCCAAAGGAATGAGAGGACCTCGCAACTTAGAGTTCTCCTGCAGCAAAAGAGAGAGGAGCTAAAGATTCGAAAAGCTGAGCTCGATACGTGTGCTTGCTCACTTTTGTTCAGGGAGAATCCCATCACTGCATGGTACATTTGTAGCATGCAGGC